ACAATTAGTACCGTACATTCAAACAGCAGCAACGCTGTTACCATGTTTACCAGGGCTTGAAAATAATTCTAGTGTGTAATGTCAAGGACCAGTGAGTGAGTGAGTTGGGTTTAACGTCACTTTTAACATTATCCCAGTTATATCTCGGCATGTCAGCTTATTGTGGGAGGAAAGCCAGAAGTGATGCAGGTCTCTGACGTTTCAAGGACTAGTGATATCACAAATGAGCAATGCCGATCCACAAGTTCAACATTCATTACTATTTCCTGGATTTATTTTATATTTTATTGATGAATCTTAAGCCTTCGAAAATAGTTGACGTTGTTTACAATATGAAACCTGTGATAAATATTCTCTTGAAACTAGATTGGAGAAAACAGATGGAAATTGATAGTGATGGGACGATACACTGATGCACATTGATTTTATATTTCTTTTTGAAGTGAAGTTGACTTTTGTATTATTGCTTACCGAAAATAGCCGTGGAAAAGGTAACATTGAAATGCCAGCCACAAGCCACACAGGTGCAAACTATGAAATTCACGAAAACCAAGCTTAACAGTTTGCAGATTTATCAAAATTTAGTAGCAGATTTTACAAAAATCGATCACATAATTTGTATTTTTTGGGTCGCGAAATACAGCAGGAAATGATGCCATCTGACTCGGTTTTCAAAAGTATTGTCAAACACATTAAAATATTTAATATCAGGAAGGACAGAGGATTTACTTGGAATCCATAACAAGAACAATTATTTAATGTAAACGGATATTTATTTGTTTAGAAGTGAAGTTACTGCAACATGCTGCAATGCATGCCTGTAGGTTTACACTAGTGATCTCCAGATTCACTTCAATAAGCTATTCTTGCCGTGGAAAAGGTATCATAGAAATGTCTGCCACATGTCACACAGGTGCAAAACTATGAAATTCACGAAAACTAAACTAAAACGTCTGCTGAATTATGTGTAGAATGATAAAAATTTAGTTGCAGAATTTACAAAAAATGAATTTTCATATTCTTTTTGGACCGCGGAATACCACTGAATGCAGCAGGAACTGACTGTAAACAAATACATGTTTATCCCTGTCATCACTATTGGGCATGTCGAGGTCAGAAAACATTTCAAATTAATTTCTACCCCTGAGCTACATTGCTAAAGGTCAGGATGTTCTCTATTTCTCAATCATGTTAGGGGGCACAGGTGACCCAGTCGTCTGAGGCGCCTTGATTCGCTATGCAGAGTTGCATCCCTTGGGCACGCCAGTAACCTATGATCGTGGGCTCGAATCCCAGTTCGCCCCAATTATGTTTCTAGGTTTGACAGCACCAAATCACTGCTCGTGGGTTTCACTGAAATGGTAAACATCTGAGACATGCATCACTTCGGGCTTTCCTCCCACATTAAGCTGACACGCCGTGACATAACTGGAGTACTGTTAAAACCGGCATTAAAACCAATACACTCACTCACTCAATCATGTTAATTGATAAATTATAGTTATCCGTCCCAGGCAAAGTGAATCAATATACATCAGATAAGAACATCTATGTTATCATTTTTTTGCATTGAACATACCGTATTCAACATAATAAGCGTCCAGGGCCCTCTCAAAATTAGAGAAAGGGGGCGCTTATAAGAATAATATTTTGATTTGAAAGATCGTAAATTTCGTGGTTTATGCTAACAGCCTGAAATGTTTTCATATGACAGATATATTTTTCAAGAATGTAATTGCCCATAAATAAGGGTGATATAACACACGAGTGCGTATTATACACGAATAAATAAGTCTTGTGTACACTGATCAATCGGAAGGGGTGCTGATTGGGATTGTTCACTTGCCAATACATTAGCAAATATCGCTGTGGGCGCTTATTAGAGCGGGACGCTTATTACGTCGAATACAGTATTAGTATTTTGCTGAAATTGATGCATCACATATTATCCATGGGAGGGGAGGGGAGGCACAGCTGTTATCATGGTTATGTAGACCTGCATCACTGTGTTATATAATCAGTTTGAGATTGCATTTACACTACACAGAACACACAATTAAGCCAGAGAGCCATGAACATTGATTAACCAACAGAGATAACCATATTACATTGTTGTTACCATGGTTACGGGAACATTATTTATTCATATTTGCATCATAAATTTCATGTTACCTGTCTGTATCCAATTCATGACAAGTTGATATACATGAAATCTACCATATGCCAAGTTACTGAGAATTCATTTCATACTTCTTATTCTCAGATCTAAACCGATCATTATACTGATTCTTTAAAAACATCCTCTTTGAAAAAAACAATGCAAAGAGGGGTGATCGTTGTGATAGCAAAACGAAAAGTAAATTCAGAAAACTAAAACGGACATATATTGCTTTATGTTTGTTGTTTAACGCAGCACACAGAAATATTCTACCTATATGACGGTGACCTGTTATATCTGCCAGACAAACTTGTGACCAATACCACAGGCAAAAAGCCATGCTGTCGGGGTATGACGACACACAGCGAACCAAGTCACCAGAGCTCTAGATAACTTTTTGAGCAATTGAGTTTTTACTCTAGGGTTTCTATTTTAATTGGGTTATTACATTTTTCATTGGGTAACCAATACTTTTTCACTCATCTATGCATCACTTTTTGAGGTATATCCCCAAAAGGGTGAACATTTTAAGATTTAAAAAAATGAAATAATGTTTTAGATGTACATAACCATGATAACCAAGATAACTGTTCTAAATATATAGGCTTGACTCGGAAAGTAAATTAGCTTGTAATTGTGTTTCGGAAATAAGCTCCTTTGTATGCATGCTGAAAAAGCTTCATTGGGCGTTTACGCGTGCTGTTTTTTTCATGTTTATAATCTGAGTTTTTCATTTAATGCATGCGTTTCTGTACGCAAGTTAATTGAAAGTAGTTGTTATAATTGGGGGGTGGGGGGATATTTTTAAATTTATCGAAATATGCTGCTTTAGTCTGCTTATCTGTAGCTCTGAGTCACCAAGCCTCACCATGAGATACACTGAGCAGCATAGATTTCTGGAACTATTCTAACAGGAATGAAATCCTCACAAAATTGCAATTTAAACATGAAATACACCATGTCCATAAAACGGCAGACAAATAGCCATTTAATCCCCGACAAGTAGACCTTTAGTGTTATTCGTGTTTGAGGACAATTAAACAGTTTTTGATTTCTTACCTCAGGACGTAAAACCATGTGACCAAGTTAACATGGATAAAAACTGGTGGGTTGTGACAGATGAGAAACCTTCACTTTTGTGCCTAAAAAAACCACCAACTCTTGTCTTCGTTGAAGCAGACCTCGATAAAGAATAATTCTGATCTAAACATGCTAAATGGTATTTTATTCTGGGCATTGGCAAGACATCGCCAGGAATCAATATAACTTGGCACATGAAAGAGGCATGATATCGGCTCACTATGATAGGCTATTTATTTCAAACTCAACTGGTAGAAAGGCATCAGTATCATTGAACGATCATAGCAATAGAGTACTGTAATTCAAATCATAACATTTACAAGGCTTGCTGTAAATATGATAATTTGGTCTAGTTAATATGCAATGGAAAATATTAACAATTCAATAACTTTTTCAAATTTGCATTGGTTTTCAAAATATGAGATTATCAAATAATAATTATCATGTTTATAACTTACTGGCATTTTCTCTCATTTCCTCATTACTTATTGGAGTCACATTTCTGGACATAAAACACACACAAACATACACACACACACACATCACACATAGTGACATCTCCGGACAAGACACACCCTCATGGTCACATCTCCTGGTGTACAAACTTTAATCTCAAAATTATTAATTAATATCAACATGATCAACATGATCAAGACTGAAACAAACTTTTCAGCCTAATATTTAATTTTTTTATTAAACCTAATGCCACTCGTCCTTATTGTATCTAGTCCTGCTTGACTGAGACAAAGATGCCACATTTTCTGTCAATTCTTTTCAGTTCCAATTTGTAACAAAATTGAAGTATTGAGAACTGGTTAAGAATTATAGCCCCCAAATGCAACCAGTCAATGAGGACAAGCATCATTTGATTTTTACTTGCGCAGTTTAGTAATCTCGGGCTAGCGGACTGCAAGAATTTCGAAGGCTGCCGTTTACATTTTCCAAGTCAACTAATCAATAAGAACATCCAGCAAGAAGATATCACACCGAATGACATTTCTTTACTGTTCACAATTGGCCCACAACTGTTTGAATGATGAAGTGAGCCTTGAGGGGTACACGATAATACGAGTTCTACACAGTTAAAAGCAATCACCCAAAACCTGTGTAGGGATTAGCAACTGTAACTCATGGGTCATGGGCGGATACAGAGGGGGGGTCGGGGGTGCAGCCCCCCCCCCCCCCCCCCCCCCCCTTTTTTTCGAAAAAAATCTTTATTTCTGTATAAATTACCACCAAAGACAATAAATAGATCTTAATTGTGCACACCCCCCCCCCCCCCCCCCCCCCCTTTTAAAAAAAAATGTATCCGCATATGTGGGTGTTGTATCCATAGAGCCAAAATGACCACCTCTTAATATATGATCATTTATTTGTAACACTTGAAACATTTTAATGGGACAATAATTATATGGACTATAAACATGATAAACCAAGTGCATTCTCATAATTCTGTGAATACTGAGGCCGATTAGATTTCTACACTACTGGTGCAGCAATAGACTACTTCTTGGCCTACCTCAAGGGAATAAACATAGCTATCGATGTCTTCCGTTGTCCAAACGTCACTACAATTATTTCAACAAAAATATGACCACAGAGCGTGTTGGATATACATACAACGTATCACAGTACAGTGTTGTCAGTGTACACAGGCACTCATAATGACACTCACTGAAGTCTAGGTCATGGGTCACGGAGGCTCGCTGGAACATGAAATCCGGCGAATGTTTTCACTAAAAGTAGGAAAAAACTGTCTTACCTGTACTGTAAAAGTCAATAATGTGCAGTCGAGGGTTGCAATGTCGACAAAACGGCTGAGGCTGGATGTTCAATATACCCAGGAAATCGAGCAAACAGTAAAATATTGTCTGGTTTATCTGTTACACCGACTATCATCCGCCATGATGAAAATGTGGCATTTGATGAGGGCACTTCCGGTAGGGAGCAGTTATTGCAAGAAAACGTCTCACCCCAGTTACATCAACGACAAGACATGGATATTTGGGCATGTTACGCTTTGGGGATTTTTATATAATGACATTAGCAACATACTTTAGCTCATAAAACAATATCTACAGTTTATTAACATGTTAATTCTGCTTTTCTGTAGTTGACATTTATTAACAATTATTCTCCCTCGTTTACACGAAAAAGGGGTGTGACAGGGTAGGGGCGTGTCGACTAAAATAAGTTTGTCGGTCAATAAACTGGATGAAAGCCACTTGACGTGTACACGTAAACGAGTGCTGGAATACATATATTTCTAATATTTATGAATTTTCATAATGACCTTTCACAATACTATTGAGAAGATGATTATGTATGAAACGTATTTTAAAACGTGTACCAGTAATATGTTCCTGTACATAGTGTATTAATTTAACATTCACTAACAAAATGAATGATAATTTATTGATATCTTGTTGTATAGACGATATTACACATACAGTTTAGGTATGTGTATCACATTTTCTTAAACAGATCTAGCTTGTGTTGCTGTTTTGTTTCGGCGTTGTTGTTTTGGGGATTTATTTGTTGTTTGGCGTTGTTGTTTTGTTTTATGCTTGTTTGTTTTTGTTTGTTTAGGTGTTTTTTTGTTGTTGATTTTGTGGAGGGGGGGGGGGGGGGGGGGAGTTGTTTTTATTTTAGTTGTTTTTTTTGGCTTTTTTGGATGGGTGGGTGGGTGTTAATTTGTCATTTCTATTTACATTTCTATTAATTGCTTATACATAAATAACTGATTGGTAATGAACATACACAGTACGGATGTGCCGTCACACTTTGGCATTTGTGCGGCTGTCTAAATGCAAATCTCTTCCGGGAACGTTGTAATTGAACAGACCGTCGTTTATATGCATACTGGGCGTACGGTTGTCTAGTTGAAAGTTTCAGATCCAGTTTCTTCAAGTTTCTTACCAGTTTAGTCCAGCCTTCATTTACATGCACATCAGTTTGCATACCTACTTACTTCCAGTATGTAAAGGTCTCTTATAGTGCTGGCTATCGATATAGTTCATAGATATCGATAATCGTTAACTAAATCACGACCAATTATCGATAAATATCGGAGAAGTAACTTTGAGCAAATATGCAAAAGCTCAGAGACAAAACAACATATTTCATGTCGGTGAGTGGTGATAGAATTATGCATGGATTACTTTGTGGACATTTAAGATATAACAAAATCAGGTGCTTGCCGTCTTCGGCAATGATAAAAAAATAAGTCTGCTTCGGTAAATTATAACTTTATTTCATCAAAATAATCTGTGTAAGATATTATCGAGGACACAATTTCCATGTCAATAATCGTCAATATTTCTTCCCATCGACAATAATTCCGATCATCGATCTTTTTGTTTAACTGTAAATGCGTGGGAAGAAGTCTAATTAAAACAATTTCAAACAGTTTCTATTTTATTAAATATAATTCAAAATAAGAAGAGCATTCGTTGAAGTAATGGCGCGACATAGTTCCTCTGATGGTACAACACGATTCTATTGACAACCCGATTCTACTGACTACACAATAGTATTGATGAAACGATGATACTCATAACACAATGGTATTGACAATACGATGACACTGATAACACAATGGTATTGACAGCACGACGATATGCATTAACGCCGCACTTGATAAGGGTGTCAGAATCTACATAGAAACGTCGCTATGTGCTCTGTTTGTTGACATGCATCAATAAGTCAACGATCCTGACCACCCGATCCCCTGCGGGCCACGGTCCGCTAATGCTGTGTTCGAATCCTTGAACATTAGAGCACAAGGTCTGTCACGAATGGCTCACCACGTTTGGAGGAAAGCTACGGTGGCCCATAAGGGACACGGAGTCTGTTTTTCAATATTTTGATATTTCACTTACTGTTATCGTAACCTTTTGAAAATTTTGCAAACACCATTTGTCATACAAATATGTGATAAATCATGTTTAAAGATGATACTGAATCGCTGAAAAGTGACATTTTCGTTTTTGTTTTTGACATTTTCATTTTAGTTTTTGACCTTTTCGTTTTGGATTTTGACATTTCCATTTTAGTTTTTGACATTTTCGCTTCACATTTCAGCGACTCAATAGCTACTTGAAAGTACATTTTCCATGTTTTCGGTTTTTTTATACATGATTTATCACATATTTGTATGACAAATTGTGTTAATTTGCAAAAGGTTACGATAAAAGTAAGTGAAACATCAAAATATTGAAAAACAGACTCCATGTCCCTTATGGGCCACCGTAGAAAGCATATGCGAATGAAAGGAAAGTCCTCGATATCTTCACATAAATTATTATCCTACACGAGGCCGTTTCATTCTATACATATGTGAGTGAGTGAGTTGGGTTTGGCGCCGCTTTTAACATTATTCCAGTTATATCGCGGCGTGTCAGCTTAATATGGGAGGAAAGCCAGAAGTGATGCAGGTCTTAGACGTTTACCACTTCGGTAAAACCCACGAGCACGGGTATGGTGCTGACAAACCTAGAAACATAATCGGGGCGAACCGGGATTCGAACCCACAATCATAGGTTTCTGGCGTGTCCAAGGGACGAAACCCTGCACAGCGAATCGCGGCGCTTTAGACGACTGGGCCACCCGTGCCCCCTATACATATGTGAACAGCCTACATGTACAATCAAGCGTTGTGTATAACTGTGGCTTTTGTGAATACACTGATATTTCGAACGAAAGACAAAGGCTGAAGGGCCTATAATGTTAGGTTAAGGAAAAGGACGAGTGGTGACGAATAGCCTTGTAGGATTTGTTTGTTTGTTTGTTGTTTAAAGGGGAAGTGTACACGCAAAAATCACTTTCTTTCTTTTTCTAAACAAAACGCAATTTTAGAATTAGTTAGTATCTGTGTTTGAAAATATACGCTCATTTTTTTTCACAGTGAAAGTAGGAAGCTCACAATAGTGTTAAAATGATATGTCGTTATGAGGCCTTCGTTTTACGAGCGAAATAGGCCTGAGTTATCCCCCTTAGATTATGACGTAATTGGTGCCAATTCAACTGGGTCCCTGTCTATTCTCAACGCAAAAGATATCAAGGACCAGTTTGCGGTAAAACAACATGGTCTACGACACACTCCGGCGCAGTGATGACTCAGCATAACACAATTCTGGCTGGCATCTGAGACGCTAGAATCACAAAACTGTACCTACACCACGTGAAGCGGCTCTAACAAAGCATGATGACGTCATAATGTTTATCAATTGGCACCAATGACGTCATATTGCAAGGGGCATAAGCCATGGTGTTTTTGTTATGGAAATAGAACACTTGGTAAATGTGAAAATATAAATCGTTTTAATGCAAAAAATATGTTAATTAAATATGATGTTTTTATATTTTTGTCTATGACACTTCTATATTAACACTTTTAATGTGGAAAAAGTACAAGAAAAATTGGTTCATTTCCGTGTGAACTTGCCCTTTAACGCTGCTCTCAGCAATATACCAGCTATATGACGGCGGTCTGTAAGTAATCGAGTCTGGACCAGACAATCCAGTGATTGATATTATGAGCATCGATCCACGCAATTTGGATCGATGACATGCATCAACCATAATCATAATGATCATAATCGGACAGCATCCGGAATTTGAACCCACGACGGATGCAGCGTAACACTTATTCAGCTAATTTAGCCAAATCAACAGATCTTTTCATCGCTAAGCTGTTTTCTCGACAATGCCTCTGTTTCATTAAGCGCGATACAAGCACTCCATTAAACAGACAGTCGCCTCGGCCATCGACACCAGACATGGCGGCTCCGCACCTCACTGCTAGGGACGCTGGAGCTATTCTGGAAACAATCCTTCTCGTGCAGCTCTCTCCATGTGAACATCACGTCCTGCAAAACGCTCCTACTCAGCGGTTCAAGGCAAACTTTAGTCACATATCTAGCTAATCGTAGTCCTGTCAAAATTGTTTGTTTGTTTGTTGTTTAACGCCGCACTCAGCAATAGTCCAGCCATATGACGGCGGTCTGTAAACAATCAAGTCTGGACCAGACAATCCAGTGATTGATATCATAAGCATCGATCTACATAATTGGGATACATTGGGCGACTTTGCTTATCGTAAGAGGCGACTAACGGGATGGTCTTACTGCTGACTTGGTTGATGCATGTAATCGATTCCTACTACGTGATGTCAATCACTGTATTGTCTGGTCCAGACTCCATTATTTACAGACCACCGTCATATAGCTTGAATATTGCTGAGTGCTGCGTTAAAGAACAACAAACAGAGTATACAGCAAAGTTTCGATGTAGATTCTAACAGCGTTATCAAGCTTGAGAGACTATATGACGGCGGTCTCTAAGTAATCGAGCCTGGACCAGACAATCCAGTGATTGACAACATTAACATCGATCCACGCAATTGGGATTGTTAACAGAGCCAGTGAGAGAAAGTAATTAGTGTCCTTGGGGGCAAGTTACGTGTACGTTTCAAGAATCATGCACTGTAGTAAAACGACGATCACCAAGTTGCAGGATGACTGGCAGAACTAGAGTCATGCCATGAAGAGGAAGACGCCGCGTAACAGCCGCCATTGAGGACCGCTATCTCCGCACCTTGCACCTACGTCACAGATTCGTTACTGTGACGTCATCGGCACATACTGCTCTTGGACGTGTCATCATTCGTCACACCGCACGTCGCCGACTTCCGGAGCATGGTATCGGTGCCTGTCGACCATTCAGAGGAATGACATTGACGTGGCAGCATCGGTTTCGGCGTTGACGTTGGTCGCTCCAAATTCGACGTTGGCAATGTCGTAACTGACAATGTGTGTTATTTTCTGATGGGAGCAATTCCAGCGGGACTGAATGGACGAGAGAACACGGAGATTCCGACCTGTGATTGTGTGTTTTATTCAGGAGATTTACGGTTTGGTGGAAGCAGTGTGATGGTTTAGGGAGGGATATGTTGCCGACAGAGGACATAAGTGGTTGTCACTGATGGAAATCTAAATGCCCAGCATGGCATCGATCTTGTGTTACGTGTTACATCAGACGCCATCGCACTTAGCAATATTACAGCTATTTGACGGCGGTCTGTAAATAATCGAGTCTGGACAAGACAATCAAGTGATTGACATCATGAGCACCGATCCACGCAATTGGGATACGATGGCATGCATCAACCATGTCAGCGAGCCTGACCACCTGATCCCGTTATAGTCGCAAGCATAGTCGCCTTTTACGACAAGCATAGTCGCCTTTTACGACAAGCATAGTCCATAGTCGCCTTTTACGACAAGCATTTACGCCTTTTACGACAAGCATAGTCGCCTTTTACGGCAAGCATAGTCGCCTTTTATGGCAAGCATAGTCGCCTTTTACGACAAGCATAGTCGCCTTTTACGACAAGCATAATCGCCTTTTACGACAAGCATAGTCGCCTTTTATGGCAAGCATAGTCGCCTTTTACGGCAAGCATAGTCGCCTTTTACGGCAAGCATAGTCGCCTTTTACGACAAGCATAGTCGCCTTTTATGGCAAGCATAGTCGCCTTTTACGACAAGCATAGTCGCCTTTTACGACAAGCATAATCGCCTTTTACGACAAGCATAGTCGCCTTTTATGGCAAGCATAGTCGCCTTTTACGGCAAGCATAGTCGCCTTTTACGGCAAGCATAGTCGCCTTTTACGACAAGCATAGTCGCCTTTTATGGCAAGCATAGTCGCCTTTTACGACAAGCATAGTCGCCTTTTACGACAAGCATAGTCGCCTTTTACGACAAGCATAGTCGCCTTTTACGACAAGCATAATCGCCTTTTACGACAAGCATAGTCGCCTTTTATGGCAAGCATAGTCGCCTTTTACGGCAAGCATAATCGCCTTTTACGACAAGCATAGTCGCCTTTTACGACAAGCATGGTCGCCTTTTACGACAAGCATTATCGCCTTTTACGACAAGCATAGTCGCCTTTTACGACAAGCATTATCGCCTTTTACGACAAGCATAGTCGCCTTTTACGACAAGCATAGTCGCCTTTTACGACAAGCATGGGTTGCTGAAGACCTATTCTACCCTGGACCCTCACGGGTCGACCAGTATCCGTCCGATCAGCATCCCCCTGCCCTACACTGGCAAGGCTTCTCATCAATTCAGCTGATTACTTGAGCACCAAGCAGGCATCGATACCATCTTCACCATCTCTTCGTACCACCCTCCAAGCTAATGGCCGCGACCCTCCCTCCAACAAGCAACCCCCCAAGGTGTGATCTATAAGATTAATTGCGACTGTGGTGATTTCGATCATTGGTGAAACCTCCCGCCCAGTAGGTACAAGCATCAAAGAACATAAGACTTCAACAGCCAACGCTGACAGCAAATCAGTCCTCTCAGACCACCAGCAAAAATTCCCTGGCCATCAAATTCAGTTTGACAGAGTCCAAATCCTCCCAACCAAAGTTTAGGACTTCACTGAAAACTCGACAAGAAGCTATTGAAATCCGCCGTCACAAACCTTTGATCCACAGAGATCAAGGGTATTACATCTCTCTCTGCCTATTAAGATCTAATCAAGCAATAGACTATTTCAATATTAGTATAATCAGCTTGTCGCTACCTTTTAATCCTTTCAAATTCCACCCTTACTGAACCGACTTCATAACCTGTGGACTTCATTACACGTGTGCTATTTGTTATTCAGACAGTAATCCACCTTCATCCATTTGCTGTATTCTACTTGTTATCCATAACCTGTTTTTGTTCATGTAATCTGCTTTTCACAACTTAGCATGTTTATATACATCCCTTCACTTGGTTGTGGGACCCGTGAAGATTCCGGGGTAGAATAGGTCTTCAGCAACCCATACTTGCCGTAAAAAGCGACTATGCTTGTCGTAAAAGGCGACTAACGGGATCGGGTGGTCAGGCTCGCTGACTTGGTTGATACATGTCATCGATCCAAATTGCGTGGATCGATGTTCATGCTGTCAATCACTGGATTGTCTGGTCCAGACTCGATTATTTACAGACCGCCGTCATGTAGCTGGAATATTGCTGAGTGCGGCGTTAAACAACAAACAAACAAACTTGGTTGTAGTCCCTCTAGCTTGATAACGCTGTCAGAAACTACATCGAAACTTTGCTGTATGCTCTGTTTGTTGTTCAACAACCGACAACACCACCACCAACAACAACTACAAGAACCACCATTAAATGTCGAGACAACAACAACCTTTAGATGCCGAGACAACCACAACCTTTAAATGTCGAGACAACCACCACCTTAAAATGACTAGACAACAATAACCGTAAAATGTCGAGACAACAACAACCTTTAAATGTCGAGACAACCAGAGCCTTAAAATGCCGAGACAACCACAACTTTTAAATGTCGAGACAACCACAACCATTAAATGACTAGACAACAAGAAGAATCTTTGTTTGTTGAAAGTTTAAATCTTCACCAAAGACAAACCCAGTTATGCTGACCCAGACATGCAGTCGCTATTTGTTTGCTAAGCATGCATAGTGAATATGCCTTAAACTGTTGAAGTCTAGAAATTCCCTTAATACAGCTGTTCTATTTCAACTAATCGAAAACATGAGCCAAAATAAAACCTCACGATTACCAGGCAATTATACTGTACTTAGAGCATGATGATAACTCAACTGTCAGGTATCGACATAGTTATAAATACAGTTCAATAAAGCTTTACATAAATCGCCATGTAAATAATAAATTTATTAATGTCTTGATATAAAATGGCGATGAATAGCTTGTTTGGCATGATCTAATAAACACCCCCCAAACCCCACCACGCACACACGCACGGAAGCACGCAACACACGCACACACTTGCATACAAAATACAAATTAAATCAACGAACAAACGTGCGAATATATAAAGAGTGAGTGAATGAGTAAGGTTGTGTGCCGCTTATAGCAATATTCGAGCAATATCACGGAGGGGGACACCAGAAATAGGCTTCACGCATTGTACCCATGGAGGGAATCGAACCCATGTCTTCGGCGTGACGATCGGGCGAACGCTTTCACCACAAGGCTACCCTAAACCTTCTAAGAATAAAAAAGAAACCGGTTTGATAATTCAATAATTACATTGACACAAGGCAGAGAATATATGATTGTCAACTTCGTTATTATTAGGAACACCTTCAAAAACCAACATTGACACAGTTTTTATAGGTACCAACGTTACTATCAATCAGCCCCAAACTATTCGCACTCTTATGAAATCGCATGTATATTACGAAATATTTATTTCTAAAGATAAATCCGCTCGTTGAACTCATGTGATATTGATGTCACTTAACACGCAAGTCTCACACAAGCGGTGTTCAGCGGGAGCAGTTTGTTGTTGTAATTGCCATGGAGATGACGTCACGAGGTATTATCCCCGCACTAGCGACACCATAACAAACGCTTCAATGAGCGGGTGCATGTAAACACCGTGTACGATCGGCTTGTGCGCTCGAATTAAATACCCAACTTCACTTCTTACGTCCCGTCTTGGATAATTAGCAACACATTTCGGATAAACCAAGCTTGGAACATCCCATCTTGTCCAGGTAGGTGAGCTATCTTTTGCTAGCGTTGTGTCGTCTGCTACGGGTCGAGTTCCGGTCGATAAGCCATTGAAAATAGAACGTGTTGAATGTGCCGATTTGTATTCTGTCGACTAGATAACAGCTGGTTTGAATAAATGGAGATTATATCCGTTCTTTTTACAATCGATCTGAACTTGATAATATTTCGATGTGTTGTACATTTAGGTAGGTCTGGATTGAGGTATTCGTGACGCACCTGTCGCTATACACGACCTTGACCTTAATAATTTACGGTTCTGTTCGTGAGATGACTTTAGGCTTTGGAACCTGAGTGTCTGTTTAATATATATATTTTTTAAGTATATGTTTTATTAAATTCACATATTAACGAGTGTATGGTTACTAGGACATACCGACAGAACGACAGACATATTTTGTTTAAGTCGCATCTTATTTATATCCGTTTTAATACTGTACTGAGACATGATTGCGAATAGGTACAAGTCACTCTTTCCTGACTTTAATTACAATTACTGATAACTAAACTCTGTATGTGATGTACCGATAGACAAATGTTTTGTTAACTGCTTGTCGTAAAAGGCGACTATGCTTGTCGCAAGAGGCGACTAACGGGATCGGGTGGTCAGACTCGCTGACTTTGCTGATGCATGTCATCGTGTCCCAACTGCGTGGATCGATGCTCAGGATGTCAATAACTGGATTGTCTGGTCCATACTCGATTATTTACAGACCGCCGTCATTTAGCTTGGACTATTTCTGAGTGCGGAGTTGAACAAAAAAACAAAAAACAAACAAAACAAAAATCACCCTTTATACGTCCGTTATAATACAGTACTAGGGCATGAATGTGAATAAGTACAAGCCACTCTTTCCAGACTTTAGTGTATAATTACTCATAACGACACTATGTATACACGTATATGATGTTGGTTGGTTGGTTGGTTTGTTGGTTGGTTGTTTAACGCCGCACTCAGCAATATTACAGCTATATGACGGCGGTCTGTAAATAATCGAGTCTGGACCAGACAATCCAGTGATTAATATCATGAGCATCGATCCACGCAATTGGGATCAATGACATGCATCAACCAAGTCAGCGAGCCTGACCACCCGATCCCGTTAGTCGCCTTTTGCGACAAGCATAGGCACCTTTTACGACAAGCATGGGTTGCTGAAGACCTATTCTACCCCGGAATCTTCACGGGTCGTATATGATATAATGGTATACAGTATCATAGGAAATACCTTTATACCACACATAGCTTATATTACATATAAGGCACTTGTCATTTACTATAGCATGGTGGGTCAGGGAATACGAGGAGGGTCACAAAAATATGACAGTCCCTAGGGGAGAATTATAACAAATAATACACATATTTCGGGAGGGTGATGAAAAAATTGACATTTTATAATAAAATAATATCCTAGTTTCAATCTTGATATCATGGCGATCATTAATCAAACATGAGTGAGTATGGTTTTACGCCGCTTTTAGCAATATTCCAGCAATATCACGGCGGGGGACACCAGAAATGGGATTCCCACATTGTACCCATGTCGGGAATCGAACCGGGGTCTTCGGCGTGACGAGCGAACGCTTTAACCACTAGGCTACCCGACCGCCCCTAATCCAACCTGAAATATAGTGAGTATTGTTTTACATATTACCTAACAGTACCCAGATATGTCCTTTCCAGCCAATACTTATAAGCTAAGATTACATTTATCCGGCCGCAGCTGTTGCCCCGGTTGCGTTTTCTGTGGGGTTTTAACAATGGTGATTCCATTAGTGGGGACCCGTGTGCGGTAACCCTTGCGGAAAATGACGTGTCTAGTTTCAATCCGTCCACGTAGCGAATGCGGACGAACCGTACGGCAGTCCTGGGAATTCCAAGTGATTTGTTTCAAAGTCACTACCCTACGTGTACAGTAAACTACGGTTATAACGAACTCAAAGGGACCACTATTTTTAGTTCGTTATAACCGTAGTTCGTTATAAGCATATTTACAGCATAACTACAGCAAATAGTCGGGACTAAAAAGTAAGTTCGTTATATCCGTCAGTTCGTTATAAGCGTGTTCGTTATAACCGAGGTTTACTGTATTTGAATAGGTAGCCACACATTGAAAAGGTGGATAAACATATTCAGCGTTAGAAATTAGCACCAGTCCTTTTGTCCTTGCAAAACTGCCCAATAGTTAAGGTATCATAAGAACTATAAAATTTGCCGTTTTTAAGTGTTTTGCTATATGTTTATATTATGATAACTTGTGAACTAAACTCTTAGTTTCTATCACTGATATACCCCACCCTATATAGACTATTTTTGTCCCAGAAATAAAATTATCGTATATAAAACAATATACCGACAAATTAGAAATGAAAGTCCAAATGGAGCCCAGGACAATGCTTCACTAGAGATAAGGCGATCTAGACTTGCCACGTCATTCTAGACTTGAGTTGGATTTCTTTTTCCATTTATTCTCTAGGGTCTGAGAACAGCACCGAATACGCACCGCAAACTTAACACGGGCCGCAGCCGGATAAATTAAATCTTAGCATCAGAAGTAAATGGTTATTGGTAAATTGTTGGAATAGATATTATCATCTAGTGTTCGTCATTTCATGCATTTAAGTCATTGTTTACTATAGTGAAACACATGATGATAGGTTCACGTAAGAACATACCGGAATGTTTTCGACATGAGCGTTGATAAGAAAACGTTCCGTACTAAACTGGTTTTGACAGTTGTACCAAGCATTGACATCTTAATTATCTTACCATTTTGATTAATGAAAATTATTTATGTTGGTTAGTTGGTTGGTTTGTTTTGACACACTCAACCAAGAATTCAAATATACAGTAAACTACGGTTATTACGAACTCAAAGGGACCACTAATTTTAGTTCGTTATAACCGTAGTTCGTTATTAGCATATATACAGCATAACTACAGCAAATAGTCGGGACAAAAAAGTAAGTTTGTTATATCCGTCAGTTCGTTATAAGCGTGTTCGTTATAAACGTAGTTTACTGTATTTCATTCTTTGTCTAAGGTTCTAAATCCATATTATTTTAGCCATAGAAAGCCACACAGTAATAATCTTTTACGCGACGTTAAACTCCATTTCACCTCTCTTCATGGCCAACACTGACACAGCTTTGGTCCTCGCTGTGGCGAGGATCGTATCCATGCATGTATACAATAAACTACGGTTATATCGAACTCAAAGGGACCACTAATTTTAGTTCGTTATAACCGTAGTTCGTTATAAGCATATAAACAGCATAACTACAGCAAACAGTCTGGACAAAAAAGTAATTAAGTTCGTTATATCCGTCAGTTCGTTATACGCGTGTTCGTTATAACCGTAGTTTACTGTATTTGTATATTTGATCGTCCACGTGTGGATTATATCAAATTACGATGATCGATCTATTAGACAAGGTTGGGGTGACATAGCTTGTAGGTGTATATTTCGGTTTGTGTAATCAGCTGTATCTAACATCTACATCGGGATAAAACCCGCACGTGCACGGACGATGTAATGACGACAGACGTAGGCGTTGTAGGTGCTTTACGTGTCTCTAATCATCATTTGGCCATTGGCAACTACATGTATGTTAAAGTATCCAGCATACAATGATTGTAATGGAAGCCGGATCTCCTCAATGAGGAGATAAAACTAGGTTTTGGTAGCGTATATACTCCCAAAACGTTAAGGCGATGCGACGTTAAAGTTAAACTCACTCACTCACCCATTAAGGACCACCCGATTCTTTCATATTACAGTAAACTACGGTTATAACGAACTCAAAGGGACCACTAATTTTAGTTCGTTATAACCGTAGTTCGTTATAAGCATATATAGAGCATAACTACAGCACATATTCGGGACAAAAAAGTAAGTTCGTTATATCCGTCAGTTCGTTATAAGCGTGTTCGTTATAAACGTAGTTTACTGTATTGCTAATCAGGAAGGCATGACAGATTAACTACAGTAATATAAAAGAAATGTGGTCCTTAACTCTTTTTAATTTGTAGACAAACGATATATATCTATTTCCGTGCCATATTTGTCCCGGTGGTGTTTTCCCAGCATACTATTCTTATCATGGTGCTCTAGTCTAGATTATAATTGTTGATTGTATCTTAATTCTATTCCGAGTTTCATGTATCAGAGAAAACAAACTGAATGTTTTACCATAACGGGTTTTTGTCTGGCAACAACAATACAGTACACTACGGTTATAACGAACTCTAAGGGACCACTAATTTTAGTTCGTTATAACCGTAGTTCGTTATAAGCATATATACAGCATAACTACAGCAAATAGTCGGGACAAAAACGTAAGTTCGTTATATCCGTCAGTTCGTTATAAGCGTGTTCGTTATAAACGGAGTTTACTGTATACTGTTTTATGCAAATTGTGTGAGTGGTGGGTGCTGCATGTAGGGCAGGACATGGTTACCCTTTTCACGAACACCAGGTGTCATCACTGATTTCCAGTGATCCATTCGTATGTTTTTCACCTCTATTTGCCTTTTACGCTCAATGAAATCTGTTTGACGTTTTACATTTATCCCAAATGCTCGCGTATTCTAACGCAACACCAATATGGTATCAATCGTCCTTTGACATATCAAACAGTCTTCGGTGTGACAAGCAAACGCTGTAACCATTATTTAAGAAAGCAGGTAAGACAAACGCATGAAAATTGATTATTAAATGAATACGCTTGAATGAACACAATTTGGGGACAAGGATTCTGTACTGTGAAGTCTGAGGTAGTCTAAGTGTATATTAGATACCTCTTACTCTAATTTAGAAACGAACGCTTTCAAATTTCACATTATGTTTATCTCCTTTTTCTACCATGGCATTTAAAAATGCTCCATTCTGACGGTGGTTGGTATCGTTGTTATTGCCAGAGCGTTATGTGCCGTATCACTTCGATACTAATTATAGTGACCGCCTCCGTGGTCTAGGGGTAG